AAGAGTCAAATTTTCTATACGCTATTAAAAGTCAACTATTATAGCACACATAGAGGCCAGTAGTATTATGTTCCCAAACTTTGGCAGTCAGACACACACACACACACTCACTCAGATTCATTTAAACACTTCGCCTATGTTTATTACCACAACTAAATGAAAATAACAAGATTTGAGTAAAAATCTTTGGGTATGATGAGCGTTCAGAGGCACGAGACCAAAAGAAAGTGTGTGTTTAAGGCAGCAAAAGAAATTGATTTCAAACCTAGACTCTAAGTCTAACAGTCACATCGTAGTTGTTGGTTATAAGCAGGGAAGTGTAAATACCAGCAACCAACCAACCAACCAGCCAACCATTTAATAACAATTTACAATTCATTCATACTTTAAAATAGTTTAAAGTTATTGAGAATTGTATGACTGTAGTTACGAATGTATCTTGGTGTTTAACTTTGCCATAATGTGCTTGACTTTAGGCCATTTTTTATGTGTTGATTTTTTATGGTCTTTCTTTTAATTTCGAAAAAAAATATGAGCGGAAGCTTAAAGCGTGTAAATGATGGTTTAATTAAATCATTTTATTTTAGCCATGTATTTATTTTTAACTTTATTGGCTTTTATATTACAAAACCCTTGTGCGGGTAACTCTTTTAAAAATGCCTGCTCATCGTCATCAACAGACATTATTTTCAAGCAGAAATCATTATCAGGCCTTTATTATCATCATAGTCATTTGGTATTTTATAATGAGCTGTCATTTATCTATTAGAATATATTTTTTTTTTTAATATTAAGAACCCTCCTGCTTGCATTGATAATGTTGTTTTAAATGTTTTGCTATTTGTTTGACTTTAACAGGATTCCTTAAGAACAGTTTTTTTCAATTTCAATTGAGCTTTTATCATTGATGGTGGTCACGATACCGTAAACAACCTACCATGGCAATGGTTGTGGTGGTATTAACGGTATCAGTGGAAAAAATGGCCAAGATTATGAACAAGTTTATGTATAAAGTTCGAGTTTGCATACGCTTTATTAATTATGTTCATTTTTGATTTTTTGGGCTTCTATTTGCCTCATTACATTTTTGCGGATTGTTTAGCGGGGAAATCTTGAAGTTTCCATTTCATTAAATGAAAGCAATTCATATAATTAGTTGTAATTTACTATGATTAGGGTAGTTAAAATCTATTCGCTGTATGTTTTTTTAAACCTGATAGAATTCAAAAGAAAATTTTAAAGACATTTTAAAACTTTATTAAGTACCCAGCAAACATTTCGTAATGACAGGTACTTATACAACTTACTTACTTACTTTTCAATGACCACTACATACCGCCTGCATTACTTTCATATACATATGTAAGTACTTATTTTAAGTTTTGCCATTTTATTTGCATATAGAGCTCAGGTAGCATTTGGCAGATTGTTGGATGATTAATTAGTCTTTTTTTGGACTCCTTTTGATGATCTAAAAGTGATTCTTAAAATGATCCGATAATAACAAAGTATACAACAATCATAAATTGATCATGCTGATGTTTAAAATATGATGGTTTTCAAATTTATTTTATGAGCATATTTCAAACAGTAGGAAGATTAAAAATAGTTTTTTTATGTAGTTTTTTTGTTTTTGTAACGGAACATGGCTCAAAAATGTTTGGTAAATATTAATCAAAAATGAATCGAAACTGATTAGAAAAGGGGCTCATAAAAGACTCTTTTAGAAGAGTTGCCAAACAATTATTTGTTCCCTAAATGAGTTGATAGAAAAATTACTCAAAAAAGACTTAAATATAATTCGAAAGTGGCTCCAAAACAACCATCAAATCGACTGAAAATTTACTCCAAAAGGAGTCAGAACTGAGGGGCTCATAAAAGACTCTTTTAGAAGAGTTGCTGATCTTAGCCACGAAAGTATCATTTATGATCAGGAAATGAGCGCATGTATAATCAATTTACCCTACATTATAGTCGGCATTTGTATTACTCATTTGTGCTGATGTTTGTAACACCTACAAGTATCCCCACCTTAAAGTATACCAATCGGCTTAGAATCACTTTTTGAGTCGATTTAGCTATGTCTGTCTCTCCGTCCGTCCGTCAGTATGTTCATGTAAACCTTGTGAGCACCCTACAGGTTGTAATTTTCAAGTTAATTTGATGAAATTTGTCTCATACATAGTCTTCTTTTAAGGATGAAGTCTTTTGAAAATGGTGAAAATCGGTCCATTATTTCACCAGCCCCCATACAACAGGGCTTTTGTGAACTCTTAATGTAACTTAAATGTTTTTGTATATCTTCAAAAATCGCCAAAACTTGGTTTTATATACATAAGCCTTAACTGCTAATTTTCGTAACGTATGGGTGTCATTTGATACTATCCCCCATACAAAGTCCCCTTCAGAAAATGACTTGTGGATCAAAATTAACTTATAAGCACTAATACCACCATGATATTCTGCATAAAAATCATTAAAGTTGATGTAAATCCCACTACCAAAATCTATAAGAATAGACCTATATTAAGTCCCTGCCCCCATATAACCGATCTTTTAGAAAACTGTTTTTTTTGTGAACAAATTGTTAAAATATTTCTGAATTAAAAATCAACATTTTTAACATAATTACTGGTGTAGGGTATCACATGGTCGGTCATTCTTACTTGTTTATTCGAGCAGAAGTGTCATAAATGGCTTGAATGTGATTAAAAATATTTTAAAAATATATCTGGAAGTACAACAACGGACTAACGAACACTAGACTCATGTTCGTATTCTGCTTCAGCTTACTAACTCCCTATAGTATTGACTTATTTAAGTACTTATTTGTAAGCAGGCGTAAAGTTAAAACTTTAATGATTATGTAGTAGATTCTTACAATACTAAAATTTTAAACTAAATAAATTAAATGTATATTATTTTTCCATTTTAAACATTAATATCTCACATTAATCTCTCTATTAATCACAATACACTGCCACCAATTAAAACTAGCACGTGTTAGATACAGTTACTTGTCTTTCAAAATACGCCAATGATTAATGAAGGAAAACACATCTAAGCCTCCGTTTAAAATCACAACTAGTATAAAGCCAATTGTACAAAAAGAAAAAATACAAATAGTTTTATAGCGAAAGAAAAAACTGCCTCCAAAAACCCAACATGTGTTGAAATAATTTAAAACTACCATACCACTCCATTAAATTAATCAAACCAAATGAAGCAGTTAATGCAACACGTTTTTCATATAGATGTTAATGCAAATAAACAGAAACAAAACAACAACCCTGAGTATGCTTAAGAACTTTGGCAAACAAGTTCTAAACTAAAAAGCCTTTCTCCCTTAATGTCTCAATAAGCTAAACTATAGACATTTACAGAGCGAAAGAGAAAAAACAAAGACACGTGCTTAACAACAAACACACAACTGAAAAAAAACTATAGTATATTGCAACAAAACTTTAACAAGTATATAAGTAGTATGTACTTACTTTTACATTCATTGGCATCACGTGCCGTGGCACGACCCCAGGGACGATCAAAATGGAATGGTTTACAACGTTCACAATCGCGGCCGGCGGTATTGTGTTTACATTCACAGGTCAATAAGCCATGATGATCAGTAATGCACTTAGAGCCATGACCATTACATTTGCAACGTCCACCCACTGAAAAATCCGAAACAGCATAGTGTAGACCCGATGAGGCAGCTAGAGCCGAAGAAGAACCCCCTATTATGGAGTTAGTTTGATCGAGAGAGTTAATTATCAAAGAATTGGGTTCATTGTATTTGCCCGATTTAGCATCTGATGATTTTTCTCCTGGATTATCCAAAGTTATAAGAGCATTAGCGTCAGGCATTTGTAGGCGATGAAATATGACTTTAATATCGGTGGCGGTAACCCAATCTTGTAATACGGGAGAGGCATCTAAATCCTTAGCTGAGGGTCTACCTTCTAGAGTACTAAAGGCTATGCGTGAACCCTGCAGACCACCCATTATATCACTGGTATGACGATGAGAATCGGTGCATCTAGCCTCTTGTTCATTATGTTTATTAATAGTGGCGCGATTAGCACGTCCATATACCCTTCTACACTGGGAACTATAAAATTGAAATGGCTGCCAGGTTTTGCCATAATCTGAACTTTTGTATATAGCTATAGAATCGGGCTTAGGAGCTTTGGGACAAAATTGTAAACTAACATAGGTTAACTCATATTTCTTGCCTAAAGACAAAGTTAAAGTAACATTATCCGGTGGCGCATTGGGATTAGAGACGGGTGCTATAGGTTCTGAACGCCAACAGGTGACATTATTGGGATTATTTAAATCGGTTAAAGCCAGAGAAGAAAATCTCTTTTGGGGATTACTATTATCACATATATTACAAGTCATATCCTGAGACATGCTGCCGGTTAAAGTAGAGGCCGCAGTTTCACAATATCTTTGTGGTTTATCCATGCCACAAGTACTCGAGGCTAGTACAGGAGCTCCATAGGCGGCATTTACAAAATCCGGTATACATTTACGGGCCTTATCATCATCGTAGCAGGGATCTGAGGGAGCCTGGGCGGCAAACATTTTTAAGTAAACATCGCTGGGTATGGCTTGGGCGGAGGGTAGGCTTACTGCTGCCAGCCATAGGGTCAGTAATAGACATATCAATTTTGGTATCATGATGAAAGTAAAGATTTCTTCTTTTAAATCACTTAATGGAATTTTATTATTTGATAGTATTTTATAAAGTTTTATATAATTTTCTATATAAATGGCAGATTTTTTTCTATTATTTTGTCATATTTTTTATAATTTAAAGTTTAGTTTATTGATATCGCAATTAATAGTTATTTGAATTGAATATATTTTTTTAAAAAATCTTAATTAATTTTATTTTCTTGGTTCCTTATTTCTCCAATTTTATTTCGATTTTAATTTTTTTTTTTAATTTTTATTTAAATTTAGATTTGTTTTAATTATGTTTTTAAGTTTGTCACTGTTTTTATTATTTTTGAATTTCACTTTTATTTAAAATTTCGTATGTCGCTTTTTTCAATATTTAATGTTAAATTTTCGTTTTATTTTCAGCACAATTTTCTTTTTTTTAGTAATTTTCCACAAGTTTTTGTAGTTATTTTAAATTTTTATTTAAATTCTGATGAATTTATCTGCAAAAAAAATAAATATTTTTTTTTTTAAATTTGAGAAAATAATTTTTCTGAAATTTTTTAATTTATTTTCTGTTAAAAATGTTCATATTTTTAGTTTTATTTAAAAATTGTATTTGAATTTTTTCGCAAAATCTCAAGAAACAATTTAGAATTACTCTATTCTTAATTAACTAGTTCTAAAATAAGTTTTAAGCACACCACTTCTGATACTTGAACAGCGATCTTGGATCCATTTTTAATTAAAAATATTTCAATGGAAATATGTGAATAAAATCATAGAGCAAGTATTACGATTCTCTCGATCGAGATATTTGAAGAATCCTTTACAGGTATATTAAAACAGACCAACAAATTGTTAACCCATATTCCACAGAATATTTTTCTAAAGGATTGAGCTTAATCCGAATATGGTCTCAGAATTTTTCCCTCACATCATGTTTTCCAGATATCGTGTCCAGAAAATTGAAAAAATCTCGTTTGGACCATATTTGAGACATTATAACAGCTCGAAGGCAACACTATTTATAAAATCTGTTATTTCATCTCAAAGTCCAATCTGAACGACTTTAAATATTTTATCTTCTTTCTTTTTTAAGATATTTTGAACTAAAAGCTAATGTGATGAGGAAAAGATTTGGATTCAGTGCAGCTTAATACTGTGTGTTTAAACTTCGGTATCGACTTGTTTAAATTTTGTAATCTTCGATTTCTTCAAACTGGTTCCATTATTTAAAAAAATGGTGAAAAAGGAATCAGTTTTAGAGTTCTTCTTAAGAAGTTGTATTTTTTTTTCTTAATTATCTATAGAATATGTTTCTCGAGAGAGAGAGAGACAATTTGAATGAAAAATACCACGAATGTAGACTCTATAAAGTTTCAAGAGAACTAGTTCTGAGAGTGACAAGTTCGAGCCTAAATTTTTGAACTCAAAGTACAAGTATAGATTAAATGAGTGAGTTTAAAACTACTTGTGGAACAAATAAGATTTTCCCCGTGGATTTTCTATTTTAAATATTATTTATCGATTGGTATCTCGAAACTGGTCCCAGTGAAAATTAAATCAGTTTTAAAGTTCTTAAAGTTAATTTCGAACCTAAATATTTGATCTCAAAGTCAAACTTGTACAAGTATAGGGGCAATTTCATGTCAAGTTACCACACTTTCAAAATCGATGTCATTCGATTTGGATGAAATTTTTACTATTGGATAGTAGGACAGACACACATTTTAAGCTATATTGGCCAAGAACGTACATGCTGCTTGAGTATAAGTGGTGCCATGTGTACTACTTCAACAAAGACTCTGGTAACGTTGCTGGATATTCCACCCATTGAAACATATTTAAGATATGAGGCGGAGCTTACAGTCGAACAGCTTATTACTTTAAGCGAACTGGGCAAAAGCGTTTATAGGACACTTCTTTAATGTATATTGGACACATGGGAAGGTTATACTCAATCATCGGACGTTCCTGATCGCATACCAGACACAGAATCTGTTGTAAACCTTAAAACGCTGATCCCAGATAGAATGTCTTGGTCTAGCGGAACATTAAAGAAAATACCAGCAGGTATCCGTTGCTACACAAACGGATCTAAATTTGGGGACAAAGTGGGCCAGGGGTTTCTATATTGAAGACCCAGAAACACCTTCCAGGCGGAAGCCCGAGCAATAACGGAATGTAAAAATTGGATTAGAATAAATATGTATGTATGTCGCCCACAGGGCTTTATGTATTTAACGACAGAGGTAAGGTTTACATCTTATGGATACCAGGGCACTCGGGAGTTGTCGGCAACGAAAATGAAAAGATCCTATGGGGTGACTCTGATGAAGACAAATCTCCTCAAAATGAGCAAGTCTGTGGTTATTATGATGGTACGTATTCTGAGTGGACACACAAGATTACGAGCACATCTAAATAAGTACATATGTATATAAAATTGGACTTACGGATTTCGACGAATGTATAGCATGTGGAGAGGACAGTGAAACTCAGGAGCACTTTCTTTGGCACTGTCAGGCATTCGTCGAAGTTAGATCCAAATATATTGGAAGAGATGTAAAAATAATACATTCAGTAAACCTTTTTCATGAAAAGGAGAGCATAACATCACCGATAGTAGCCTAGGTGCATTTTTTAGGATTTTATGTAGTATACATCCTCCTATCAACCTAACCTAACCATCGGTCAAGAGCTGTAGGGGACATTTTGGCAATACGGGGTTTTTTTTCAAATGAGTGTAACTTTTCACCTATTGGTTCTAGCAAATATGGACTTTAGCTGGATATTTCTTCAATCTTTCCAAAAAAATCGATTTTAAAAGTTGGGTCACTTGACACAAAGTTCCACCTAGATTAGCTGATGTGTTTTTAAACTACTCGTGGAACTAATAAGAATTTCGGGTGGATTTTTATAATTTAAAAATTTTTGTTTCTATTCTTTTTAGATATTTTTTAGTTTTTTTAAATTTTTTATTAAATTAACATTAAGGTTCCTTATCTCAAACTCCGATTAATGTTTAACCGATAGATAAGTATTCGAAGTATTTAATTATTTTTTTAAAAATTATTAAATTTTAACATTTTTAAAAATTTAATTTTAATAATTTCTTTTTATTATTGTTTTTTCTTTTTAACTTGAAAATTTAAATCATTTTTGAATATTTTATAATTTTTTTATTTTGTAAAAAATTTAAATTAAATTTAAAATTTTTTTCAAAATATTTTCATTATTTTTTTTTTTGTTGAATTTAAAATTACAATGTTTGGATTAAAAAAATTATTAAAATTTTTTTTTAATTTAATAAATTATGAAATAAAAATTTATCTAAATTTTAAGATTTTCAAAATGTTTTAATAAGATTTTAAAAATTATTTCGAAAAAATTTTATATTTTAAAAATATTTCGAATCTTTAGAATTTGTAATCATAATATTTTTTCTTTTATTTAAAAGTTTTAGTTTTTTTTTTTAATTTTAAAATGTTCAGAATTTGCACAAAAGTTGGATTTTTAATTAATTTTTTAAATTTGTTGTTATGATTTAAAAATTTTGAATTAGGGTCCAAGTTTCTGAATGTTTATTAAATTTTATTAATTTCATCAAAATTTTTAATTTTTTATTTTAATTTTTAGTCCATTTAATTCAAATTCTTATATCTTGGTGGTATGTATTCTGTAAATCTGGGGTGTTCGGTTTTAAAAATTAAGGATTTTGAAATTAGTTTTTAGGGTTTTAAATTTTTTTGAAACTTTTTTTGCAGATTTTTTTATATTAAATTTCACATTTTCTATTAATTTTCAGAAAATTATTTTTAGGTTTTTGTTTTAATTTTAATCGTGAGATTATTTCAAGTTTAATTTGTTTTATTTTAATTATTTTTTGTAAATTTTTTAAAACTTACAAAATTATCAATCATTTTCTTTAAAAAGTTTTAAATTTTTATTATTTTTTGCAATTAATATTTTACACACTATTTTAACTCTTTCACTTATAATTATTTTTAAGAAATATTTTCATTTTTATTCACACATTTTATTTCAATCAATTACAAAAAGTATTTTCCTTTGAAAATTCTTATTTGAAAACACTTTCGTTTAACTAACGTTAAATGAAACGCGCGCGCAACTCGTTTGCCTTAGAAAACAGTTAAAAATATGGCGTAAACAATTATACCGCTATACTTCGTTCGTACGTAATTTCTCAAATCGTTTGCAATGCAAAAACAAAAATTCTCCGTTTGAATAAAATGAACGAAATAAACTTTTTTTTATCCGTAATTGAGAAGATAATTGCATGCGACGTATGCAAACGTCAAGTTCAGCTGCCTGTTCACAGTCAACTAAAAACACATTTTTAGCCGCTATGACAAGATGATACACGCGCAAACACGTTCGTTCAGTATAGATGTTGTGTTTTTGTTTCCTTTTTGTTGTTGTTTATATTTTTGTTTACACACCAGCAGCAACAACAATATTAACAACGAAGGTAGCATACGAACGAGATGATCTGAAGGTATGGAGCGCATAGAAAGAACATTTACGGGAAGACAGAAAATTACACACGAACAATTCGCTTGCACACTCAAACATACTTACATACATACTTACACTTACAAGCACGAAACGGATGCTGTATTTACACGTTTAGCTAAGTCAACCGGTCATACCATACAGTCGACCAGCCAAGCAGCCAACCAACCAAATAAACGTTACCGATTTTTCCCAACATTTTAATTATTCATTCGGCGTATCATTCCCCCGTTTACAACCTTCAAACCATAAACACAACCTCTTAACGAACCTGGTATGAAGCACACATGTTGCTTTTGATATATTACAAAAAACGCACACAAATTGCTGCAAATGGAAAAACTACCTGATGCTAAAATGTAAACAAACAAATGTTAAAACGGAAATACGGTTTGTGTCTTTACTAAAGAAATACTGTTATGTTGTACATCTCTTATTTTAGCATAAATACTCTTTTTTTATTGAACCAACTCACCTTAGACTCTTTATTTAATAAAACTCTCTTCATTTTGTTTTTATTTTGCTCATGGTGTATTTCTTCCTTTACCAATTCACCTTTTTACGAGTTGCGCCGTTTGTTGTGTGTGGGGAATTTCCCTCATTTACATAATTTTAATTTCAGCAGGTGGTTTAAGATTTCTGTGTGCGTCCGTTCGTTCACTCCTTTTATATTACAATTATTATATGATTTAACATATTTTCCTCTCATTTACATTTTCATACAGATTTCCTTTTAATGTTTTTGTTTGGCAAATTCCTTGTATTCTCTTTTATATTTAAATTTTCTATTGCT